GGAGCTTGGAGTGATGTCATAAATCTAATGGTTCTTTAACAGAGTCCAAAATACTCGGCAGATGAGAGAGACCCTTAAGGACCGAGGTTGTTTGTCTGCCTCTGGCTTCTTGTGCAATCCCCGAGAGAGTTCATTTTTAGGGCCTCTAAGTGCTCGTTAGCTGCCAATTAGAGCACCAGGACAGACCTCTGGGTCGCTGCCTCACACCTTTTAAAAGTGTTTGGAGACAGGCCACCTTGGGTCAGCTTACCACTCATCCCCATCTCTATAAGACCCAGGCAAGAGTACTAGCCAGAGTGCTCACAGAAGGGTAAGCCCCACCACGACTTCTCACTGCTCCAGAACCCCTAGTTTCCTCCCGTCTTGAGTAAGGGTGAATGGACATCACTCAAGGTCTTCACGTGGCTTTTTCCTTGTTGATAAAACAAAGAATTGAGGGATGCTTGGATTCAGGGAAGGTAGGGAAATATGGTGAGGTTTTCCACTCTGAGTGACTGGAAGATTGAAGGACAGAGCTGGCAAACAGAAGGACATCAGAGGGAACTGACTGGGCTAAAGAGAAGGGGGGAAATGAAGAGTCTGGGAGAGCCAAGGAGGCTATTTAGGTTGGTTGGGGCAGAGCAGCCTGTATTTACCTTTAAGTAAACCTAGAGAGAATGCAGTACAGCCTTTCACATTACAGAAGAAAAAGGGACGAATGGATGGATGGATAGACAGATGATAGATAGCCTTGGAAAACAGCAGGGGCTGGCAGAAAATGAACAAGTTCTCCATTCAGGACAAACTCTTGCTCGTGTGAAATTCAGCAAGTTAATTTTTTTGAGCCTCTTTTTTCTCATTTGTAAGATGATTACCTATCTTTAAGAATGTTTGCTAAGTTTAAATGTAACACATAATGCAGTAACATATAATAGAGTCAAATGGAGTAATATACCTGAAAGAAGGTTTGTATTTATGTAAACATTAGCTTTCTGTTTTATTTCTTTTCATTCCTTCTTTCCTCTCTCCATCTCTCCCTTCTTTTTTTCCTTTTTCCAAGGTCCCAGTGCTAGTAGAAACTTGTTTATAACACAAAAAACATAAGTCCCTGGACTCCAACTCCACAGCTCTTCCCATTTTGCTGAGTTGTCATTCTTATAAACCAGAAGAATGAGAGAGGGACAAAGAGAGAGAGAGAAGAAAAAAGTAGAGGGGAGGGGGCGGATTATGCATGACTTTGTGGAGAGAAAGAATTATGCAGGGCAAATTGGAACAGAGAACTTGAGATGACCTGAACGTTGTGTGAACCGGCAGGGTGGGAGATGATTGGGGTGGGGAGTGGACAGATGCATCCAGGATGGAGAGATGTTGCTGCTGCTCAGAGCAAGAATGAACTCTTGCCACTGTGCTATGTGACACTGGATTGTGTCACTGCTATGATTTCCAACCCAGATTGGGCTTGCCTTAATGTTAAGCTAGGAAAATCCATCTGTGAGGACATTTCTTCTGGTGACAAGGGATCCCGACAAATACCCACTCCCTTCTCACCAAATAACCTGCCTGTCTCGGAAGTGGCAGGTGTTGGGGCACTCTTGACGAGTCCCCTGCCGCCTTTGGTCCGACCCCCAGCTCTGCTCCTCACTGTCTGCCTAAATGTGGACAAACTACCTTACCTCTTTGTGCCTCAGTTTCGTGTCTGTACAATGGGGATTATAATAGTATCTACTTCCGAGGCTTATTTAAGATAAAATGAGGTAATACAGGTAAAATATTCAGAACATTGCTTAACACATAGTGAGATCTAATTAAGTCTCAGTTATTATTACCTCCCTTACAGGCTTTTTGTGTGGACTGAATGAGGGAAAACATAAAAGCAACTTGGGTAAAAAGTACTTGATAAATGTTACCTGTCACTGGCTGTCACTCCAATCCCAGCACCCCCAGGAAACCCTCTCTTGTTAGTCATAAGCTGACTTCGAAGGCTACACTTTGCTGGGCCTCCTCAGCACTGGGGGAGGGATTATATGCATGGGACCAACTCACAATGGAAGAAATTTATCCTCTCCAATCATGGAACAGGAAGAGGCGAACAATGAGGAAGGGATTATTGCCCATTCGCTTTTTACAGAACGAAGGCAAGAAGGGTTGGGAGAAACCCTTAGGCTCCTTCATCCGGCAGCAATCGCTGCCTTCAAATCTGTGCACAGGAGACTTCCTTGGCGGCTAAAAAAAACCACTCTCAGCCTCAAGAAAACCCACAGCCGACCTCAGAGGGAAAGAGAGGGGTGGTATCCGTGAGAAAGAACCCTGCTATACTCAGAGGTCTTTTTCCTATGCTTTTTCAACACAAAGTAGTAATTTTTTTTCTGTTGTATTTCAGTAAACGGAGCAAGTCCCTCTTCCTTTACTAAGGAAATTTAACTTGCCCTTCTTAACTGCTGATACTGGTGAAATCTGAGTCATGTTATCTACATGTCCTGTCTCCTTCGTCAGATAGTGGCTGTCAGGTCCTCTGTTTCCTAAAGCCCAGGGAGCTCAAGTCTTCCAAGTGTCCCTGTCTCCTCCCACCAGTTCAGCTGAAGGCTTTCTTATTTACAGTCCTTCTGATCCAGGTAGGCGACCTATGAACCTCTCTTAGAACTCCACAATCACTACAGTGTGATTTCCTTGAAGGCAAGAGCACCTTTTCTCCTTACATGTTGCCTTTACAACAGTCTGACCAGGAAAGCTGTATCTGACGGACAAGCCATGATCCCTGCCCTACCCCCAGCATTCTGGAGAGGTGCATCTAGGGGACACGTGTCTGTTGAGGGCAAAGGAGGCATTGCCACTCTACTCTGTGTCTGAGTGTAGCCCTCGGCGGAGCTAAAGTTTGCCCGGCATCGCGATAGAAAACAGAACCCAAATGTACAGTGTCAGTGGCTGGCTTCCCACTGAGGGGACCGGTGGCGGTCCCAGGTGGGAGGTAGATTCTGGAAAGGAAGGTATAACCTGTGAGAGACTAGCAGTCTTCTTTCTCCCACTGAGGGTCGGCGCTGGCCCAACAGAGTTTGAGCCCAACAGATTGCCAACGGTTTTCATAGAAAAGGACAGAATGGAGGTGCCAGGAGTAGTGTAGAGTCTCCTGTGGTAGCCTGTTAGCATAATCTACATTCTGTGTCTTGTGCTATCGATTTTGAGTGGTCCAAGTCGTGACTCTGTAACCTACTCCTCACAATGGTTCAGTTCCCTACCCTTTCTCCATATGCAAGTGCTAGAATGATCCAGGTTATCAATGATCTCATCAGAGGAGGGAAAGATCAGTTAAAAACTGGGGTGCATAAGGGGGCGCCTGGGTGGCTCGGTCAGATGAGCGTCTCACTTCGGCTCAGGTCATGATCTCACGGTTTGTGAGTTCGAGCCCCACGTTGGGCTCTGTGCTGACAGCTCAGAGCCTGGGGCCTGCTTTGGATTCTGTGTCTCCCTCTCTCTCTGCCCCTCCCCTGCTCACTGCTCCTTCTCTCTCTCTCTCTCTTTCTCTCTCAAAAATAAATAAACATGAAAACAATTTTTTTAAAAACTGGGGTGCATAAGGAAGATTTCTTTGAGATGATGGGACAATGACCCAGGACTGAGCCTTGAAGGATGGAGTCTTGATGCGTGAAAGAGAGAGAATGTTCTAGTTAGAAGGGAGCACTAGCACAGTCCTGGACAAAGGGTGGCCTAGCAGAGGCAAGAGTCAAGCAGAAGGAGGCCCCAAAGCTACCTTTCCAGAGCCACTGATGCAGTCCCACGAAAGAACTTTTGACTTCATGGCTTCACTCCTCAGTTGTCCAAGGATTTGTTAGGTAAATGGAACTTCCACTATGTGCAATAGAGTAGAAGCTGGCTAAATTTTCCCTGGGGCTTCAGCTGCCCTATTTTCCCTTGGCAAGTCTCCTGATCTCCCATCCCACCCCCTACAAAATCATCATTCTTCCCCATATCTCTTAATAGCAACTCCAGTTGTCCAGGCCAAGAATCTTGGAATCATCCCTGTACTTCTCTTTCTCTCACACTTCATGCCTGGTCTGTTAGTTCCACCGTCAAAATATATGCAGAATCTACTACCTTCAACAAATAGACAACTATTGAATAAAAGGATGGATGGATGGATGGATGGGATCTTGACTTCTTTCAATAGCTGTAGTGATACCAAGACCTGAAGACTTAGGAAAACCTTCCCTCTCTGTAGCACACAATGTCATTTATAAAGCCTCAGTAACAATACACCCAAGTTCTGTAAGAGGCAGTACAGGTGTCGATTTAGGGAGTCAGACAGTCTTGAGTTTGAGACCCTACTTTACAGCCCCGGACTACTTATTTAACCTTTAAAAACCCCAGGGACCGGATTACACCGATATAATAGCAGTTACCCCACAGAGCTCTATGAAAACTAAATAAGAAAATAAATATGAAGTTCTTAGCACAGCTCTCAGAGTTTATACTTTCAAAATGTTGTCAGCGCTTTCTTAAGTCACCTTCGTGTCCTTCCGTATTTAGCGTCCGAGTGCTTCTGTACTTTGGTCTGCTCCTTGCTCCTCTCTTTGCTCACTCTCCCTTTGCATCTCTTCTTGATTTTGTGAGATCTTGTCCTCCTACCCTTCTTTAGATTGTTCCTACTCTCCTATATTGTGCTTTCTACAACCTCCTATATTCATCTATTCACTGAGCTAGTCAGAACCGCTATTCAGCACTACACACAGATACAACCTTAATAGCTGTTAAAATGCTGGTAAATAGTTAGTGTCCTGGGCCCCAGAGTAGTCTCTCTGCCCCAGCCCCTTCCCTAGGATCCCCTGGATCTCAGCCTGAAACAGCAATTAAAGGTCCATGTCTGGCATCGTGGGGCCCTCCAGGAGACTGCTTAAGCTCTAGGCTGGTAGGTGCCCACGCCATATTACCCCAGCATCCAGTAGCCACAGATTAGGTGCCTACTGTGTGTCTCTTTCCTTCTCTGGCAGGTTCAGGTCTTCTCCCACCACAGAGCTCAGCAGCAGCAGCCTATGGAGCCAGGCGCCTGGGGGAACAGGACAACTGTCACTGAGTTCATCCTTCTTGGCCTGACAGAAAACGTAAGACTGAAACCCATCCTTTTTGTCGTCTTCCTCTTTGCCTATGTACTCACCATAGGGGGCAACTTCAGCATCCTGGCTGCCGTCTTTGTGGAGCCCAAACTCCACACTCCCATGTACTACTTCTTGGGGAACCTATCTCTGCTGGACATTGGATGCATCACTGTCACTGTCCCTCCAATGCTAGCATGTCTCCTGCCCCCCCAGTGCAGAGTCCCCTACGCTGCCTGCGTTTCACAGCTCTTCTTCTTCCACCTCCTGGCCGGTGTGGACTGTCACCTCCTGACAGCCATGGCCTATGACCGCTACCTGGCCATCTGCCAGCCCCTCACCTATAGCACCCGCATGCGCCGTGAAGTCCGGGGTGCCCTGGTGGCCATTTGCTGCACTATCTCCTTTATCAATGCTCTGACTCACACAGTGGCTGTGTCTGTGCTTGACTTCTGCGGCCCTAATGTGGTCAACCACTTCTACTGCGACCTCCCACCCCTTTTCCAGCTCTCCTGCTCCAGTATCCACCTCAATGGGCAGCTGCTTTTTGTGGGGGCCACTTTCATGGGGGTGTTCCCCATGATCCTCATCTCAGTGTCTTACGCCCACGTCACAGCTGCAGTGCTACGAATCCGTTCAGCAGAGGGGAGGAAGAAGGCCTTCTCCACGTGTGGCTCCCACCTCACCGTGGTCTGTATCTTTTATGGAACTGGCTTCTTCAGTTACATGCGTCTGGGCTCAGGGTCAGCCTCAGACAAAGACAAAGGGATTGGGATCCTCAATACTATCCTCAGCCCCATGTTGAACCCACTCATCTATAGCCTCCGGAACCCTGATGTGCAGGGCGCCCTGAAAAGGGTGCTGATGGGGAAGCGGCCTCCTGAATGAGAAGGCAGGGCATCGAAATACCCCTCCCTCCTAGAGCACCCCCTGACTTTCCCATGCTGAAGGCATGATGTCGGTCACAGGTGTCTTCAGGGGTGGGTTGAGGGATGGGAGGAAAGTAGATAGTATGGACCAGAGTAGAGGATGGTTTATCTTGGATTGGGGAGAAAAGCTAAAGCTGGTAGGAGATGGATTAAAGTCAGGTGGGAGAAAATTATAATGTGGGTCAGGAAATGGGACACAAATCAACTATTTGTTTAAGTTCAGTGAGTGTTCAGCTGAAATATATTTAAAATGCTAATAAAAGCAAAATGTTTGTACCCTCCACTCACTTTTTTTTTTTCAATGTTTATTTATTTTTGGGACAGAGAGAGAGACAGAGCATGAACGGGGGAGGGGCAGAGAGAGCGGGAGACACAGAATCGGAAACAGGCTCCAGGCTCTGAGCCATCAACCCAGAGCCCGACGCGGGGCTCGAACCCACGGACCGCGAGATCGTGACCTGGCTGAAGTCGGACGCTTAACCGACTGCGCCACCCAGGCGCCCCTCCACTCACCTTTTAAAACAAAATACATTCGTACCAGAGTAGGGGGTGTGGTTTTTAGAAGATTCTTCTTCAGGAAATAAACCCAGGACTGTGTCATTAAATTGAGGTTTGACGTAGCCTAGGAGGGGGCATTGGGACCTGTCCGAACACCCTGCCAGCGTCTTCTTCAGAGCAACGTTGCCACATGCGGGCTCCGCAAACCAGTGTCCCCATCCTGAGTAATCGTTAGTGGGAACACCACATTTTCATGTCCGTGTGCGAACTGACTCTCACAGCTCCTGCACCAAAAATGTGAGGACGGAGCATGTTTCAGGAGAAGGAGCACTCAGAATAGTACGGCGCCCCTCTCAAAGTCCAACAAACTCATCCTGATACGAAATTGTAGGACACAGCTGGGGCAACTTTTGGTGAAATGAAGGTACTATGGACATTTTCAGGCCAAAAAAGAAGGAAGAGGGGAGCAATATGAGGAAGATACTGGATATGAAAGAAAAAGAACTCACTGTTTTTGATGAAATAAAGGCAATCACTGAGTTTGCCATAAAAGAGCAACACTTTCCGAACCGTGTGAACTGAGAGAATCCTGCCTGAAGCTACAGCCAAAGAAGAGTCTCCTGCCTGCAGAGAATTAGGAAGAGAGCATTTAGTTCGCAAAGCTGAGCACAGAGCACCAGGGTGTGAAATCCCGTAACACCCAGAAACCGGGATCCACTTAACTTAGAGCACGCGACAGGGGAGGGGTAATAATAAACAAGTCATCATGTGCTATGACAAAGTGGTTGTCTTTAATTCATGTTCTGAAGCGCATGGTTTTTTTAGGCCTGCCTTTAGATATTGTGAATTTTGTTATTTAGCCTAACTAGGTGTGATCATGTTTCACAAAGCCATTTCTTCCCCAGGGAAATCTGAACTGTATAGTTTTTGACTCTGCTATGCAAATATGAGCAATTCATGTTTCATGTAAATCATTTTACTAAAAAGCCTCTTTTTGTTTAAAAAGAAATGTGAATGTATTGACATGAAAAGGTGTATGGCATCTATTGCTAAATTTAGAAAGTGATGATAATGTGATATGTGAGCGGGGGCAGAGGGGGTGAGTAGGCAAAAAATCCCGGACAACAACCCCCGAGCTTAGACAGTGCTTCCTTCCCTCTGTGGAGGAGGGTAGGGCTGTGGGGAGTGGAGAAGCACTTCAGCTTTTATTTTGTGTATTTTTATTTGAATTTTTTTCCCTGGGTTCTGTAATTTAAACAACAACGGCAAAAAATAAATTGTAAAAAATGCTAATGGTGACAATGCGGAGTTGGGAGGGTAGGATGAATGGACTGTAGTGTTTTATCTCCGGCCTTCAAAGTGTCCTCTGTCATCCTCATCTTTGAGAAAAATAGTAAGTTGGCTTGTCCATCCAACAGAAGGCCATTGGGTTCACCTGGTCAAGATTTGGGCGCCTGGGAGAGACATAAGCCAGTCATTGGCCATCTTGCTCCTCCAAACGATCCCTATCCTAGGAGAATACTCTCGGTGGGCCTTTCCTCCCTCCTCCATGCCCTTCCTGGCCCTGACCATTTGAACTGTACCCTCCATTCCACACCAACGTAATTCTACTCAGAAGTAGTGACTAATCTTGGTGGGGACCCATTTTGACCTTTCCTAGTTCCCTGTGCTGCAGACAAAGGTTCGTGGACTCCCGGCACCGAAAGACAACTTCTAACCATATCACCACCCTGACTTCAGAGAGCCCACATCCAAAGAAATATGTTACAGATGTCATCGGTTACTTTGTGAACTTTTGAGGACGTCCAGGACCCATCTGTCAAGCTCAGCAGATGTCATTTTATACATATTGGGCATCTACATAGGAGTAGTGGAAGATGCTCTCATATGCATCCCAATCATGCCTCCTTCTCCATCAAGAGGCTTAACCATTTGTCCATCACAGAGAGAGGCACTCTTAGGACTCAAGAAAATTATAAAAGTAGTAGGTTTTCTCTTTTATTCTATTAGCACACAACAGTATTTACGGAACACTTTGAAATCTATTCTCATTTGAATATTGTACCTGCATAGTTGAGTGTCACCCACAACCAGGGCCAGGATTGCAGAGTAGGAAGGCCTGCGTCTATTATCCTCACTTTGCAGATTAAAAAAAAGCAAAGGTACAGACGTGCTAAGTGATTTTCCAGAGGCCGTAGACAGACTTAGTAGGTAGGACAGCCTCCAACTGCCAACTCCTGATGCAGCATTTTTGCCTCCCTCCCAACCTGCTTCTAATAAATCACCAAAGAATTCAAAACTAAACGGTGATAATGACTCTAGGTGCAGCGAGTCTCAGAGATGGGAAAGGCAGCGTAGTTGAGTGGAGAGAGCTTTAGACAGGACATATGGAGACCTGGGTTCGAATCCAGCCTCTTTTACTTTAGGCTACGTGAACTTTAGGAGCATCAATTCCTTCCATCTGTAATTAGTCCCTTCCAAATAGCTTGGCTTTTTTCACTCACCTGCCATATGATAAATACTCAGACCCACATAGGTTGCCAAAGGCTGAGGGAAAATAAGGGACCACGGGCAATTAAATGGACAAGGATAAGGTTGAAAACAGGGTACAAGCCCAGGAACAATTGATTGATGGGCAGTGGACCTGTGGTGTGTAAAAGTCGGTTCTTGGTCTTCAGCAACTGGAGAGGTAGTAGCAGTGGGCCAGGCAGAGGCACGAAGGCCTGAGAGCTAATAATGATTGAAACAGGAAGAAGAGAGCCTGGAAAGGAATCTTGGAACATGAGCCAGATAATATGTAACCTGTTTTCAGAGTTTTTTATGTTTGAGGGACCTGGTTAGATGATGCTCTCAGGGCCTAAAAGAATTCCGACCTTATATTTGGTATGACAGGTAGCTGTCCAGGGTAAGATTCGGGGAAGAGAAAATAAAGCAAGCATCTTCTATGTGCCAGGCAGCAAGGTGAGAAGCCCATGCTCCTAGTTAAATTGAATACGCTGTGGTCAAGTTAGGAGACCCGGCTTCCGGGCTAACACTGCTACGAGCTAGCTGTGTAACACTGGGCAGGCCACTTCCTCTCTGCGGGCCCCACTTTTCTCATCTATGCACAGGGCATCATAACATGCGCTTCAAATGATTATTCGGAGCATTCAATGAATTGAAACACAGAATTATTGAGTTGACAAGTGCAGCGTGAAGGTGATGTGAAAATTCCATCGGGTTCAAGTAGAAGGCATTGCCAGATTTCTAGTGTTTGTGTCCTCTCTCTACTATGGACCAGAGCAGGGATTTTTCCCCGCGAAAATGCCGGCTTTCCCAGACAGCGCTAGGCCCTTTGCACTGCACTGGCCTTCAGCTCCCTTGAATGAGCTGGTGAAGGACTCAGTCCTGTAGAAGCTGCTGCCCTGCACCCCTCCCCCCACACCACGGGAGGGAGCGTGATGAATCTCTTGGGCCCCCAGACACCTCAGTATCTTTTGGTCTATTCACAAGAGACAGCTAATTGATAAACTTTGCTAACTTCCCCAGCCTCTGCAGGACCTCAAGAGTCCCACCCACCCAGGAACTGCTCTAATGAAGGTTTCCCGCCGAGACAGCCAGGGTCAGGATTGGGGAATGTAGTCCTTCCAAGATCCACAAACAGAATCTTCTAATTAGCTCCCAAATGAGAGTTCAGGATAACGCAGCCTAGGGACTAAGGGAAGGTGGGATTTGCTGATTGTCTTCTGCATCTCTGCTAATAAGGCCAGAGGGAAGGGATGCCCAGAGAAGACTTCCTTTCTTTTTGGTCCTTAAGTCAGAAAGAAACTAGACCTCAGGGAGGACAGTGGAGGAAGCCAATTAGTGATGGGTGGTTGCAATAGTGTCGTTAGTAAGGCTCATTAGCAAAGTTGTGAGTAGAGGCAGGATGCGTTCAAACCGAGAATGCCTGGTCAGGGGTCTCAGCCTCCCTGCAAACACCGGCCTCCCATTTCTTCACTTTCTGTCTGATTTTCAGCATTTTGTTCTCCCACCTTCTCACATCCAGAAACTCTGTGTTCTCCCTCCCCCCTCCCAGGACAGTCTGGTTGTTTTCAATCCCATGTTAAGAAGCACACCTGCTTCATTGTAAGGGTGCATCATTTTATAACTGCACCAGGATTTCCTTGATCAAACTCCTGCCTCGACCGTTCAGGTTGCTTCCAGTTTTTCACTCTTAAAGGCAGGGCTTTGATATGTCTTTGCACAGCCGTTTCCTTGAACGGGCCATATGCGTGTATGTATGTATATTCAACACGTTTATGAATATTGACAAATTATCAATAGGCAGGTTGTACCATTTGGCTTTTCTACCAATTCAGTGCAACAGGGCTAATTCCCTGGTCCTCACCAACCCTAGGTATTACCATTTACAAAAATCTTTTTACAATGTGATAAGTGAATCACTATTTCCCATTACTGTTTTACTTTGCATTTCTTTGT